AGAGAGAGAGAGAGAGAGAGAGAGAGAGAGAGAGAGAAAGGAAGAGTCGAAGACAACACCTAGGTTTTGAGCCTGAGTGATGGGGGGGATGGTGGTACCCTCGACAATAGTAAGATGGAAGGGTTTGTGGGTGGGGGGAAAGATGAGCTCCACTTTGGACATGTTGAGATTAAGCCTAAGACATTAAGAAGTTAAGTGACTTGCCCAAAATTGCTCAGTGAATATGTGTCAGAGGCAGGACCTGAATACAAGTAATCTTGACTTTGAGGTACCCTACCCACTATGTTATACAGCCAGGGTTGTGCTGGAGCCAACACGAAACCACTTGAGAGAGCTGATTGTTAATTTTCAGTGTAATATTTACACCTCAGAAATTGGCCAATGCTACAAATCAAGGCTTGATTTATTGTTGTTGTTTTTTAATTATTATCTAGACTTTAAAAGGTGATGGAGAAAATATTGATAATGCAGATTAAACTTAGAAGTATGCTATGTGTAAATCCTCCCCCCAAGAGCTCGCTGTAAACATTTCCCAGCACCTCCCTGTACAGAGCCTCTCATAACAGGAAGTGTAAATGTCAATATCCCCTGCAGGGTGTCAAGGCAACAATGTATGCAGCAGTAAGAGCAGTATCTGGTACAAATCAGTCTTGCATAATACCACCTGTCTCCTGAGGTAAGATGAGTAATCATTTGTTCCATACAAGCCAAAGAAAACACTAGCCTAATTATTTTCTCTATCAGTGTGACCAGAGTTGGAAAGTTCTGAGTGTTCCCACTTCTGAGCGCTGAGGTCTCTCCCTCCCTGATCTGTGGGTCCCCAAGTATAGACTTACTGTGTAGTTGGACATCACGTAGCTTGTTCATTTAGTCATCCAAGCAGATGTAGTGGAAAGAACATTTGTATCTAAAGTAAGAAGGCTGCCTAGGCTGAAGTCTAAGCTCCGCAACTTACTAGCCATGTGAAGTTGGAATGAAGTTTGCCTCGTTGGTAAAATAGGGATAATACTTGTTCTTCTGCACCTCACAGAGATACTGTGAAAAAGTGCAATGTAAATCTTTAGACCCTATTTATTACTATCATTCATTCACTCAATCAGTAAATATTTCCTGAGTATTTAATGAACATAGCACCATCTTCAAAGAGGAGATAGGATAGTGACATCTATCTACCTGAACAGCTTCACTCCAAAGCCTCAGGTCAAATTGGCATTGGTACATTTCTTACACAAATAACTAATTTTAAAAAAAAATCAAGGTAGAAGGGAAATTTACACAATATAAATGTCTGTTACTTAACAAATAATAATCTCATTAAAATATATTCCCCCCATAGCTATAGTATATAACATAAACATTTGCATTTTATTAAATGACAATCATCTTAAAATAGCCCTTTTTAAAAAAAAAGTTTAAAATTTTTAAGACTTAGCTGTTTTGTAGAAGGGGCTCAGGTTAGGCTCAAGGCTCTTAAGATCAGTCAGGGTCACTGTTCATTCTAAGGTCGAGGCTTACTCTGGAGTTAGGACTCAATTCTAGGGTTAGAATCAAGGAGCTGGGTCTGGTCTGTCCTCTAACTTTAGCCTAATTAGCACCAACTTATGATCATGGTCAAACTGGCCCCAATCTAGGCTATACATGGCATAAAAGTATTTGGACAAATCCCCCAATTTCTTTCTCCTGGCAAAAATAACAGCTCCTTCCCAGTGCCTGACCTCATCACAGAAAAACAAACTCTCTTTTTTTCCTTTCCCTCCTCTGCTCTTTCATTTCTAAGGTTAATCACTGCCCTTGCAAACACCCTCCAATGTGAAGGACTCACGTGTCACTCCAGGGACCATTCCATTCCTTCTCTCCCCAGGGATTTCGCAACCGGATCATATCGAGCTTTTCTGACTTGAAGTAGGCCATCAGGCCATGGCCCAGGCGGATCTTTCTCACATCTGTGATGGCGTAGGCATGACCCTTCACCAGTCCACAATCCAGGCGGGTTTCCATGTCAGATTCTGTCATCGCCTAAGTACCATGGGAAACATTGTGGGGGGAGGGAGAAATCATCAGGAACATGATCAACTCTCTCTCTTCCACCACCAAAGATGAAGAAGTGGGGGAAAATGCTGAATTTGGAGTCAAATCACCTGGAACTAAATCTAGGTTCTGTTACTTGCTATGGACTGTGGGCAAGTCATATTTCTCTCTGAATCTCAGTTTACCCAGCTATAAAATGAGGGGGTTGAACTAGATGACCCCTACTTTCTTCTAGCTCTTAAATCCTATAATATCCCTCAGTACTGTCCGGAGCAAAAAATAATGACTGATACATGGATAGCTCTTTAAGGCTTTCAAAGGCTTTTCATTATCTTATACAATTCTCATATGAGTTTTATGAAATAGATACTGCAGACATTATCCTCATTTTATAGATGAGGACACTGAGAGTCAAAGAGGGAAAGAGATTTTTTTTCCCCCAAGTGCACACAACTAGTAAATTAAAGAGCCAAGACTTAAACCCAGGATATCAAATTCAATTCTCTTTAGCATCCTCTCAAGGTCCCATGTCCACCCTCCCCCACCAAAACACACACACACACACACACACACACACACACACACACACACACACCCCTCCAATGGCTCAGAAATCCAGATAATGGAATGTGGGCCTTGGCTTCCCTGGGTGACATATGGAGTTCCAACATTCATATTAACTCCCCATTAAAACTATGTGGAAGGCTGTCTCTAGTGCACCCTCTGACTCAGGCCTCCAAGGGGTTGGTGGTAGGTTCAGAGCTCAATTTAAGCCTGGGGTATGGTTTGAGCTATGAGTCCTCTCACCTTAATAGATGCACTGATGAGCCCTCCACGAGAGTGAACCTTCAGCACTCGCTCAAATAGCTGGTTCCGCAATGTCTCATCATTGGCATAATCTTCAATTGTCAGGTCGATGGGCTCTGTGATGCCCCCCGTGAAATCCACCAGGGCATCTGCGGTATTGCCCCCATCTAAAGCCTCATAACAGCCTATCAGCCTAATGCGGAGGCATAAAGTAAGGAGAGAAAGGGCTACAGTCATTCCTTCCAAGGCATATAAACTATGGACCCTAAGTTTTCTGATGTCTTACTTTCCTCATCTGTAAAAGGGGGTAATAATCCCAGCCTATCTCCCTCACAGGTGTGTTGTGAGAATCCACTGAAATCACAGACGTAAAATGTTTTACAATCATCAAAATGCTATAGAAATGTAAGCTATTATTATTGTTAATCTTTATTTCCCCCTATGTCTACAAATCTTTTACTGGATCCCCATAATAACTTTGAGAAATAAAAGGAGTAGGTATTATCAGCTACCTTTTAGAGAGGAGGGAAGAGGCTTAACTAAGGAAAGGACCTGCCAGAAGTCACAAAGAAAGTCCTCAGACTTAGAATCCAGAGTTCTGTTCACCCTGCCTCTGTGCTCAGAGCACCCCGCCTTTGGTATGTTATTTCCTTAGGGGCCTGGATCATGTTCTGGTAGTCCCTGAGCTATGAAGCTCAGCATTTTCATTTTTTCCCATATTAAAAATCCAGAAAACACCCTCAAGAGGTCATCAGGCCCAGAGGAGTCCTGAATTTAGGAGCATGACCCCTCTGTCTACTGGTATATGCCCTGATCAGATGGTCAAACCCCATATATGCTACTGGATTAAGTTCTGGGAGCCTCATTGTAGGAAGAATTTTGACAAAATAGAGAGATAGCACGGCACAGTGGAGAGAGGGCTGACCTTGGAGTCAGGAAGATGTGGGCTTAAATATAGGCTCTGACACATACTGGCTGTGTGACCCCAGGCAAGTCATTTAACCTCTCCAGGGTTACAGGTGACCCTTTAAGACTCTAAGTTATAGATGAGTCATCGATGTGCCTCCAGGAGTTTTGGGGATTTTTTGTTTTTTACACAGAAAAACACATGTCAAGAAAGAAGGAAGGAAGGAAGGAAGGAAGAAAAGGAAAGAAGAAAGGAAGAGAAAAAGAGATAAAAAAGGAAGAAAGACAAAGAAAGAGAAAGAAGCCAGACAGAAAGATACAAAGAAAAGGAAGAAAGGAGAAAGGAAAGAAGATAAAAAGACAAAGAAGGAGAAAGAAAAGAAGGAAGGGAGGGAGGAGGGAGGGAAGGAGAAAGGGAAGTAAAGAAGAAGAAAATTAGATAAAAAGAAAGGGAAGGAAGAAGAAAGGAAGAAAGACAAAGAAAGAAGGGAGAGAAAGGAAGGAAGGAAGAGAAAGAAAGAAAGAAAGAAAGAAAGAAAGAAAGAAAGAAAGAAAGAAAGAAAGAAAGAAAGAAAGAAAGAAAGAAAGAAAGAAAGAAAGAAAGAAAGAAAGAAAGAGGAAGGAAGGGAGGGAGGAAGGAAGGGAGGGAGGAAGGAAGGAAGGGAGGGAGAAAGAAAATAGAGAAAGGGAAAAAAGGGACAAACTGGGGCCATACCTAGTGGAAGATGTCCAGGATGGGGAGAGGAGACTAGGCCAACTAGACATAAGCTGAAAGCACTAGAGATATTTATCTTGGAAAAGTTTCTGAGGCAGGTGTGATGGTACACATCTCTAATTCCTGCTCTCACAGGGTCTGAGGTTGAGGGAATCACTCAAAAATAGGAGTTCTGAGCTATAGTAAAGCTAAAGCCTATCAGAGGTCTGGACTAAGTCTGGTACCAATATGCAGAGCCCCTGAGAAGCTGAGATAAGTTAAGTGACTTGCCCAGGGTCACATAGCTAGTATGTTTCTAAGGCAGGATTTGATTCCAAGTTCAACACTTTATACACTGCATCAACTGGTTGCCTGATCTCCCAGAGTTCTCCTTCCAAGATATTTCAGAAGAAGAAAAGGGGACATTGGAAGGAATTCGTCCTCCCCAGGGAGCACATCTCAGAGAGGAAGAGTTCTTGGAATAATTCCTAGAACATCTTGGACATCCATCAACAAAGGCCACATACAAGGGCAGATGAGAAGGCAGAAGGACTGAGGGTCTGTGCACCCAGAGCTAATCTCAGCACTTTCCCCTCTTGGACAGCAGAGATATATCCACTTCATCCAGGTATTTCTCAACATCTACCTACTGTCTGCTTCCCAGGGCCAAATGTGTTATGGATGCTGTGGAATCATTGTCCTAGGAGCTAATTAGGTGTTTAGAAACACCCAATACTGTTATCCAATGAGAGGAAAAGGAAAGAGAAGGCCAATTCTCATCTTCCTCCCCACAACTCAGGTCATGTGGCTGTTTCAATGGAGGGAGCAGAATATAATGAAAACAGCATTGGATTCTGAGTGTGAAGATTTGGATTGGGGTCCCAGCTCCGCTACTTACTCCAGGTCTCACCTTGCACACATTTCTTTACCTCTGAATCTTCATTTTCTCATAAGTAAAATGAAGAAATTGAACTAGATGAGTTCTAAAGTTCCTCAAGCTGGGACATTCTCAGTTTTAAGGCCCTTCCCAGCTCTGACATTCTCTGTTCCAAGATCCCTCCTGGCTCTAACATTCTATGTTCTAAGGCCCCTTCCAACATACTGTGCTCTAAGGGTCCTCTTGAAATGCTGTGGTTCTGTTACCATTTATTAAGTACCTACTGTGTGCAAGGCACTGTGCTAGGCCATGGGGATGCCAAGATCATGTTATCATGCATGGACTTTGAGCGAGAGTGGAACGCAGAGGTCAATGAAACAAGACTCAATCCCCATTCTCAAGGTTCCTTATGCATTCAGGCTGTTGGAAAAGCTATAAAATTTAACAGGCTACATGTCAAGAGGGAGAGTTTGGGTCCCATAATTAGACAACTAATATGCTTTACCTTTCTAATTTTAACCCTCTCACTTACCTGTTTTCTAATCATCTGGTACCAAAATCCCACTTCCCAGCTACAACAATCTCTTGCCCACCCCCCAGTCTCTACAGCTTCCCCAGCACAAGGGAACGTACTTGGCATAAGCTTTCTCAATCAGAGCACACCAGAACTCATTCTTAACATTGGAATGGCAGTAGATGAGCTGGTTATAGATGGTAGGCAGCCGGTCATCGATGACCACATCAACCCATTCTCCAAAACGCCAAAAATGGAAATGGAACATGCCCGTATAGCTTGCAGGGTCATCAGGGTTCCATTCCTGCTCCTTCCAGTTGGGGATGACCTAGAGATAGACAAGAGACAATCCTCTTAGTAATAATTATTATAAAATAAAAATGTCTACAGAAGTTGAAGGTTTATAGAAAACTTTTTTCAATCCAATCCTAAGAGGAGCAAGATTTATTACCCTTATTTGTAGATGAAGAAACAGAAAACTCACTAAGAGAAATGACTTGCCCAAAGTCATGAAGTGAATTAGAAACAAAGGTAGGTACAAACCCAGGTCCTTTAATCCCATGAGCTGGAAGTTATAAGGAGGCAGATTTCAGCTCCCTATTAGCAAAAACAATTAGAGCTTCTGAATGGAATGAGTTGTGTAACCAGGAAGTGAATCCTCCATCATTGGAAGTCCAATCCAATCCAAAAAGCATTTCTTAAGTACCCACCATGTACAAGACATTGTACTAGATGCTGGAAATACAAAGACAAGAGAAAAATAGTCACTGCCCTCAAGGAACTTACATTCTGCTGGCAGAAGTCAAGTAGATTGTGGATGACCTTTTGTTGGAGATAATATAGAGGACAATACTAGTTGTTAAAGGTAGAAACTGGACCAGATGACTCACCTTCCACCTCTGAGATTCTATGAATGGAACAGGCCTTATACATCAGAGGTGTCATACCTGACCCCAAAACTCCCCACGTGAAGAAATCAAATTAAAATGTAATTGGGAGGAGAAAAATCTGGAACTATGCTCAAAGGGCTACAAAACTATGTATACCCTTTCATGCAACAATAGCACTACCAGATCTGTAACCCAAAGAGATTAAAAAAAGGGGGAGAACCTATGTGTACAAGAACATTTACAGTAGCTTTATTTGTGGTGGCAGAGAACTGGAAATCGAGGGGATGCCCATCAACTGGGGAGTAGACAAACAAGTTGTAATATATGATTGTCATTGAATACTACTGTGCTATAAGAAATGACGAGGGGGACGGTTTCAGAAAAATCTGGGAAGACTTGTATGAACTGATGCAAAGAAAAGTGAACAGAACCAAGAAATCATTGTACACACTAACAGCAATATTAAAATGATGATCAACTGTGAAAGACTTAGTTAACCTCATCAAAACAATGATTCAAGACAATTCCAGAGGGACCCATAATGAAAAATGCTATCCACTCAAAATAAATAAAAATACAATACAATATAGATAATGTTAAGGGTACCACTGGGAATCTGGGATGTGGCTGTGCCAGAAGGGAATGGACCCACTGGAAAAGCCAGACACTAATCTTGTCTACCAGTCTGTTTGTGTGCACAGCAATCCACGATACAGTGGAAAGAGTGTAAGGCTTGAAGTCAAAGAGCTTGGTTTGAATTCTGGCTCCACAACTTATGAGCTGTGTGACATCAGGAAAATTACCTAACTTCTCTGGGCCTCAGGGTCCTCTACTGTAAAACCAGGTGGTTGGTCTACTACATACCAGACAGCTGGGTGGCACAGTGGATAGAGTGGAGTCAGGAAGACCTGAGTTCAAATCTGGCCTCAGACACTTACTAGCTGTATGACCCTGGGTAAGTCACTCAACCCTGTTTGCCTCAGTTTCCTCATCTATAAATCTTAAATACGTGATCCTATAACCCTATGAACCTCACCTATGACCCCATGATAAAGAGAGAATTTTCTTTAATAGTGATTGTACAGCAAATCTAGAGGTAGCAAAGAACTGGAAACAAAATCAATGTCTACAAATTAGAGAGTGGCTAAGCAAACTGTGGTATGTGAATTAATGGAGTATTACTGTGCGGGAACAAACAATGGACATGATGAAAGGAGAAAAGTAATGAAAGTTTACATGACCTGGTAAAGAGTGAAGTAAGTAGACAAGAAAACAATACACACAACAGGCAGCTAGGTGGTTCCATAGTGCACAGAGCACTGCACTTGGAATCAGGAAGACTTGAGTTCAAATTTTGCCTCAGATACTTATTAGCTGTGTGACTCTATGCAAATCACTTCACCTCTGTTTGCCTCAGTTTCTTCATCTGTAAAATGAGGATAATAATAGCACCTATCTCGCAGGGTTGTTGTGAGGATCAAACGAAATAACATTTGTAAAGCACTTAGCACAGTGCCTGGCACATGGTAGGTATTATATAAATGCTCATTCCCTTTTCTCACTACAACCATATAAAACAGAAAGAACAAGAAACACAAAATAATCAAAAAGGAATGTGTGAAATTACAAAGAATAAGCGCGGCCAAAAAGACACAAGAAGACTCACTCAACTCACTTCTTGGCTAAGATGGGCTCCACGAGCATGGACTTTTATTTTTATTTTCAGACTTTTTCAAATGAATTGATCAGTTTTGCTCATTTTTTTCTTTAAAAATATTCTTTGTTATATGGGAAAATGAAGGATACTGGGAGAAATTTCAGTGATATTAATAAACAAAAGAAATCAAAACCAATTTATTTTAGAAAAAGTTATGATTGCACATGTATAATCTATATCAGATTGCTTACCATCTTGGGAAGGGGAGGGAGGGAGGAAGAAAAATTTAGAACTCAAAATCTTATAAAAATGAATATTGAAAGCTGGCTTCAAAAAATAAAATACAGGGGCAGCTTCGTGGCGCAGTGGATAGAGCTCCGGCCTTGGAGTCAGGAGGACCTGAGTTCAAATCTGACCTCAGACACGTAACACTCACTAGTTGTGTGACCCTGGGCAAGTCACTTAACCCCATTGCCTCATAAAAAAAAAAAAGAACCAAAATAGTATTTACCAAAAAAAACAAAACAAAACAAAACAAAGAGTTACTGCGGTATAGAGGGCTGAGGACTGGAAGAAAAGGAGAGCTGGGGCTGAATCCTGCCTCAACTCCTTACTGGCTATGTGAACTATGGAGATTTCCTTCAACTCCCCAGACCTCAGTTCTCTCTTCTGTAAAATGGGAAGGAAAGGCAGCAGTGTAGTAGACAGAGAGCTGTCTCCCGAGACATTTTAGAGATGAAGATATTCAATCCCTGGGAAGGCAAATGACTTGCTCAAAGTCACACAGGTGCAGAAGTGACAAAACTGGGAGATAAAGCCAGGTCCTTTGCCTATGGACCTAAGACTGTGCCAAGGGCCCATCACTAGGCAAGAGCAGGGCAATGATTTGGATGCAGGCCCTGGCTCCATGTTGAGGGCTCTTCCCAATCGCCTCAGAGTTACTGTTATTCTCTAGTTCTGAGATCTCCTTCAGGACCTGGTGAGGGTCATTAGCAGCTAACAAGGCTCTGCGTGAAGCCTGGTAAGTACCAGAGAAGCCAATTAATGAGTCACCAGGGATTCATGATGACAGGGGTGAACGGGGAGCCAGGGGAGCTCCGCTGGTCCTAATCCTCAGCTGGGCTCATGATTCTTGGTGATCAGGTCCAGAGCAGCTCCTCAAGGAAGAGGGTTGGGGCTGGGGGGAGCAGGAAGGAAGAGGATCCCGTCCAAGCTCTCCTCACCAGCTTTACTTTTCCCAGGGAGCTAGGTGCTGCAGTGGATACAGCACGGGGCCCAGAGTCAGGAAGACCCAAGTTCAAATCTGGCCTCAGACATTTCCTAGGAAGTCACTTTCACCTCTGTATACCTCAGTTTCCTCAACTGTAAAATGAGGGTAATAATAGTGTCTACGTCCCAGGGTTGTTGGGAGGATCAAAGAAAATCATATTTGTAAAGTGCTTAGGGCTTGGAACATAGTAGTAACGGTTGTTCAGTCGTTTCAGTCCTGTCCAGCTCTTTGTGACCCCATTTGGGGTTTTCTTGGCAAGGATACTGGCATGGTTTGCCATTTCCTTCTCTAGTTCACTTGACAGATGAGCAAACTGAGGCAAATAAGGTTAAGTGACTTGCTCAGGGTCACATAGCTAGTAAGTGTCTGAGAGTAGATTTGAATTGAGGTTTTCTTGAGTCCACGCCTAGTACTCTATCCACTGTGCCACTTAGCTGCCTGGCACATAAATATTAGCTATTTTTTATTATTATTAGGCTTCTCAGAACTACATGGAGGTATCTTCAGGCTACTATGGGCCTCATATACCCTCCTTTTAACCAAGATGTGACCAGGAGTATGGACTTAGAAGGAAGGGAGTGTGGTCACAGGAGGTAGTCATTTGTGGGGGACTATAGATACAGAATGTTGCATACACCATAAGACTTTTGAACTGTATCTATAGATTTTTGTCTAAATGTTTTTTTTTCCTTTGTTATAGGGGAAAGCTCAGAGGAAACTGTTATATTTGTATAAGTGGGTTTATGGATCTGTGTTTATAAACTCGTGTGTGTATGTGTTAGAGACAACATATTTGTATACACATGTACAGAATGTATATAATAATACATCAAATATGTCCAGGAGCTATGTTTGCTTAGCATGGAAACTACCACCACCAATGCAAAGAGACCTATCTGTAACTCAGTCACCACAGAGAGGACAAAATGACTAGCCCAGAGTCCCATAGCTAGTATCCAAGGTTGGATTTGAACCCAGGTACTTCTGGCTCTAAATCTAGCACTCTTTCCACTAAGCCATGCTGTCTCTCCATACCCTGGAGCAATAGAGCACTTCAGATTTACAAAGCGCTTTCCTTACTGAACAACCCTGTGAGGCAGAGGACAAACATGCCTCCCCATTTTACAGGTTTAGAAACTGGGGTTCTGAGAACCAATGACTTGTCGAGATGCAGCCTGGTACAGTGGAAGGGCACTGACTCTGAAGTCAGAAGATCTAGATATAAATCCTGCCTCTGATTTTACTCCCTGAATGACTTTGGGGATGTTATTTAACCTCTTTGAACCTCAGTTTCCTCATCTGTAAAACAAAAAAAAATTGGATTAGTCTTGAAGGTTCCTTTCTAGCCCTAGGTTTATGATTTCAATTAGGAAATATCCATTCTAGGACATTTAAATACAGTTCTCCTAAACAAGTCTACTGTGCTATCCACCATATCAAGCTGCCTTTTATATACATATGAGCGTATGTGTTCATTCAATAAACATTTATGTAGTGCCATCTGTGCATAG